TCAGCTAGTTTAGTCTTCATTCGAGGAGGAATGGTCCCAAGAGAGAGATAAAGTAACACCCCGTATCCAAAACAGAAAAAAATTCAGATTTTGAGAAGTTGCAGGTGCAACCCACGGTTGCCATCCATGAACCGTAGGTCAGACCACGGCCTGTGCTGGTGGTCGGTGGTTCACCACTGCAACCCCTCCCCAACCCAGCTCAGAAAATCGGTTATGTCTCGACCTACGGACAGACCCACAGTCCGTAGGTCAGACCACGGTCCGTGGTCTATGTCCGTGGATCAAGACTACTATACCCAGCCTCTGACATGAACTACGGTCGACCAGCACGGACCGTAGTTCGATCCAAGGTCCATAGGTTTAACCGTAGATGAGGGTCATCAGTCAGTTAGGGGAGAATTGTTTAATGGGTCAACTTCAGATGGTCATAAATCTTAGCACAAAAGGAATTATTTGTCCCATGACCTATGATTTGATATATAATTGAATCCTCTTTCCAACGCCACCGAGTATGCTAAAATCCGACCTCTGAGTAAAACGTTATGCTTGTTTTGGTGAAGCCCTGTCGGGCAGACTTGATCGACGACCTCAATCTACGGACCGTCGATTGACCTATGGCCCGTAGGTCCAATCCGTCGGTCACTCCGACAGCAATTAAGTCAGGGGTCTTTTAGTCTTTTCTTATTTCGTTGGATCCCTAAGATAGGTCGTTTAGACCCTAAATCATGTGGTTTTAGTCAGTTTAAGTCTAGAAACATAACTAGAACTTATCTAAGTCAGATAATTAATCAAAACATAGAAAATTAGAGCGTAAGACGAGAAGAGAAGTCAAGAACCCTAGTTCAAGAACGCAGTAAGGTTCCTTCAGTTTCAACCCCGAAATCGAAAGAGTTCTCCATGGAATTTGCCACCAGGTATGTGGGATTTCACTAATGGGTTCCTTTTGCTCATTAGGTCCCTAGAATTCAGTCAGATTTTTGATTCCATGATTATGAACAGACCTAGGGTTTCTATAATTTCAACAGATCATCATGAATTAGTTATTTAAATATTCCAAATCAGATTATCATGTTATTACTCAGTTTATTGCATAAATTTCAGAACCCTAGCTATGTATATCTTTAGTTCTTGAATTACACATGCTAGGTCAGATATCTTAGTTATTCAGTTATATATGCCTCAGTTATTAATGCATCATTATCAGATTAATTGTTGCATTCTCAGTTTGCATGTTCAGTTTTGAGCTATCCAGTATTTATAGAAATTCATTCATAACCAGTTAATCACTTAATTCATTGGGAGTAGCATAATACCGAGTTGGACTAGGGTTCAGCATACCCATATAGTCCTAGAACTACGAGCCACGTAGGTGTAAGTCCCCTCTGTGGGCAACATCAGTTTAGTGATCACGCTAGCTAGTCATGCCTCTATACCTTTGGCCGGGTATATTAGGTCCTCTCGATGGAGCGTATACATCGGACCCTACATTTAGCTCATGTGATTTTATTTTCGGTTATTAGTAGCTCCCATAGTTCAGTCAGACTCTATTGCATTGACCAGATTTACAGCTCATTCAGTATTCAGTCAGCATGTTATAAATTGGTCATTGCATTCAGTTAGCTCAATATTCAGTATCTATATCGTGTCTAGATTATTTCATTGCTTTATTGTTTTGTTCAGTTATATGTTATTTCATCTTTACTCTATCCTGCATGCTCAATACATTTCAAATACTGACGCATACGTGTGCTACATCTTCTGGTGATGTAGATTCAGGTTCTCAACATCTAGATCACGCTTAGGTCAGTTCTCGATCTTCAGCTCAGCAGCATCAGTGGTGAGTCCTCATTCTTCGAGGACTAGTGGCATGTTTATCTTTATCGCTTTTAGTCTTTTAGTTTCAGATTTTCTAGACCTATTTAGGGCATGTCCCAACATTTCTAGTCAGTTTAGAGGCTTGTTTCAGACATAGTTAGATTCAGCTTAGTATTAAGTTAATATCTTCTTTGTATTAAACTCATCAGTTATCATTTATATCAGTTATATTATATGGGTATTCCCCATTTTTTCTATTTTTATTTTATTGTATTTAGTCTTGCGCATCAGTTTATTATCTTTAGTATGGTCATGATCATGCCAGCAGGGGTTAGCTTGGGATCACTTTGTGGTCCTAGGTCCCGTGTTCGCGTCTCGAGGGTAGCTCGTGGAGTGACAACCAATATCACCACAAGTGAAACAAGTAATTTTAGTAGAAATTTCAAGAGAATAAGATTTAGAATTATATCTATTTGAGATGTTTGAACTACGATTAGAAGAGTTTCTTCTATAGAGCATAGTTCTGTTAGATCGAATAGAACTATGACTTGGAGACTTTGTGATGTTGTTCAACTGCATTTGGACTTCCTCTAATTCTTCTATTAGTAAGTCGACTTCAACCTGACTTGCTTCGAGAATAATCTGCCAATCTTTCTTTTCTTGAGCGATTTTATTATATTCGTTAATAACCTTCTATAACTCATCAACAACCATGTCTAAAGGATCTTACCTCACTTGTTTCACCTAGTGCCATGAAACATAGATTGTCCCATCATGATCATCGTCGGTTGTTTCTCATTAATCCCATGCTCCGAGACTCTTAGGGTCCTCGTTTCTTCGATTGTTTCTTCTTCTCCGTTCTGGGTAGTTTTGTTTGATGTGTCCTGGTTTTCCACAGTAGTAGCAGCGATCATCATTTCTTTTGAAATCATTGTTCATAAAGTCCTGTTGAGGTCTCTGTCCTCTTTTTCTAAGTATTTGTCTCACTCCTCGATTTATAAGAGCCATTCCTTCGTCTTGATTTTCATCAACTTCTTCTCCAATTTCAGATGTCTCAGCCGTAAATGCCACATTTTTCTTTTTATCATCTTTATTGTACTTGTTGATATGATTTTGTTCATGGGCTATCAAGTTGCCTCGAAGTTCATCGTACGTCATTTTCTACAGATCTCCATCTTCAAGAATGGCAGCCTTAGTTTCCCAAGCTTTGGGAAGACTTCTAACAAGTTTTCTAACTTGAAGTCCATTTGAATACACCATTCTAAGTGATTTGAGTTCGCAGACAATTTTACTGAATCTTGAGAACATAGTTTCTATATTTTCATCTTCGGCCATTTTGAACAATTCATATTCATTTACTAGTGAACTTATCCGAGCCTCCTTCACCTTCTTAAGTCACTTTTAGTTTGTCTCACATTTCTTTTGTTGTTTCACATGTTGATATCTTGTCATATTCAGCTCCGCTCACTGCAAAATATAACAAACTTATAGCTCTAGCATTGGTTTGAATTACCTCTTGTTGTTCCTTAGTGATGTCAAATGATTCAGGATGAAATGGTTTTTCAGTGCCATGTCTGTCAGTCTGTCCAGGAATAGGCTTTGGTCCCTTCTTGATTACTATCCATGCTTGGTGATCATTTCAAGAGACAAAGATTCTAAATATGTCTTTCCAGTGAGAGTAATGTTATCCATTGAAGTATGGTGGTCGGTGTGAAGAATGTCCATTTTGAAGTAGAGCACCAGGAATCTGATAGTGTGCCATTTGATCTTTGCTCACGTGTGGTTAAACACTTAAAAGGTGAGACCTGCTCTGATACCAATTGAAAGTCAAGAGGAGGAGAGGGTGAATTAAAATTACTTTTAGTTGACTTCCTATAATGGCCAGTCGACTCACCTGCACGTTAGTAGAATAAATAAACAGTAATAATAACTTGCAGTAAGTAAATAACACAGAGTGTTTTATACTGGTTCGAATCACCGATGTGGTGCCTAGTCCAGTCCCCTTGGGTTACAAGGGTTTTCTTAAGAGCTTGTTGAGAACTTGGGTGTTACAGAATGTTACAAGTAAGAGCCCCGTCTGATATGCAAATCAGATCTTCTTCTTCGACACAACCTCTACCAGTATAACCTACACTCAGATATTTCTTTCTCTTTTCTTTTCAATTGTTCACTCAAGTGTATACAAAGTTTTATGAAAGAATAAAGAAGATTACAATATAAGTTTAAGTGAAGTGCATCCTTCACATTTAAGTCTGAGGGGGTATATATATATGCAGACTTGTGCTCTTGTAAGGAAGACCCAAGGGAGTTATACTTCAATCAAGGATTTGAGGAATCCCTTGATTGAGACAATTTGCTGATCCATGTTCATATAAGATATGTGCATGGTAAATCGCATTCCTTCCTTCTTGACAGATATGATTCGATAATGTGCTTGGCTGAAGGATTTATCTTGACTCTTTGGCTTGATCTGATTTCCTTTCTTCTCTTGATTGCTTGGTTCTATTCTTGGCTTGATTGATGATTCCTTGATCTGGTCCTATCAATCAACATTTGCTTGATTGATCTGCTGCCAGCTTATTTGCTAGATTGATCTGCTGCCAGCTTTAGGCCTTTTGTTAATGATTCTTTAATCCCTTTGATTATTCCTTTCCTTTATGAAGTAATTGTAAGGATCAGAATATATTTCTTTCCATGTTGGTGTTGTTTTGCTTGGATCCTTTTCTTATTGGATCTCCATCTCTGCGAGAATTGTGAGTAGTGTGTTAAGTGTCATTTATCAGAATTTACATAACATTAAGAAGCTAACAGAAATCACACTAGGGGTGGAAAAGAACAAGTAAAATGCATATTATATACGTGTGTGTAAGTGTGTGTATATATCTTGAATCCAAACTCATCGGCAATAGTTACCATACTCAAAAATTAAATTTCAAATAGCAGCATCGATGCACTTAAGGAAAAGATCACCCGATATATATTTTACTCATTCTTCCTTCAATTTCCAATCAGACATAGTTTAATTCATGTTCAAATCTGTCTAAACCATTACATGGATTTCATCACATGTCCAGAAAACATAATGCAACATCATTTAATTGTCTGATAGAACAATATATAATTGTGCATTGTGTTTTAAGAGGACATGCCAAAACTGTGTCCATATATCACCATTGTGAATTAGATAATAGAGGATGTGAGCTCAGCAAAGAACTCTGATCTAAAACCAGACACAGAACTTATTGGAGCAAATAAAATTTGTTGATCCTATGTTCTACTTCTCTTATACTGAGGTTCTGGCAAGGATGAAACTGATGGTGCCACGGCCAAAGAATCATTAGAGCTTTCACATCTAAAATATGCATCAATAACGCCATCGGGAGAGCCTGGAATAGATTGGCATTTGCGTGTTTGGGTTTGGTAGATTTTGGATCCAGAAATGCCCATTAGCTCTAGAATGAGATCATGACATTCATCAATGCTGTCCTGTTTGAAGATCAAGAACTTCAGTGACACACAAAACCAAATAGGCATAGTGATATTGCTAATCAAATACTATAAGGTATTACTAAGAAGCCCAAAGAAGTCGATTACAGAAAATAAAACTCAATGTGAAAGAGTGCGAACCTTTCTAACTTTAAGAACAACCATAAATTGATTAAGGTAATCGACTGCATTGCAAGGCTCAATCTCATTGATCACATAAAACAATGTTACAGTTGCAATTACAGATGGGGGATAATGCAGAAGCCTCGAATCTGCATTCAGCATGATCGAATATATAATCGAATATATAATCAATAAACTACCTGCATCCAAAAGTCTCAAACAAATTTTTCAGATAGATATCTCACCAGTGATGATACCAAGTATGATGTTTTCACATTTCCCCTGGAACTCCGAACATAGGTTGGTCATCAATCCAAATCTCTTGATGATATGGTCTATAAATGAAAGTGGTGTCACTGGATTCATTTTCCATTTAAGGGTGGACAACACCAGAAGTTCTATTTTCTGAATAGTCTTTGCCTCAAACACATACTTTGGATTTGATACCTAATCAATAAAATACATCCATCATTAATACAACCATAACAACTTTAACTATTATTATCATATCTCAATCCTAAGCTATGTATGATCAATTATATCAATTCTCAATGCCCATTCTACTTCATTTCAATCCAGTGTTCAATACTCGAGAAATGACAAACGGACATAACCGTTAAGACATTTATACAAACACCAACACTACAATCTCTTAATAAGTGAAGGGTCAAAACATGCCTAATGTGCAAGTTTCCTACCTGAACTATCACCAACTATTAATCAAAACACTCTTCAACTATCAATTGTTCCCTTTACCTACATTCAAGTAGAAAAAAAGAGGACAAGTGATAGTTGAGATGCGTTTTAATCAGTAGTTGGTGATAATATATAGGAACCTCACAAGCCTATAGTTCACGTATGAAGATCAAATCAGGATACTTAGATATGCTTTTTATCATTTACTCTATCTTAAGCAACAAAACATAGCTACAGACTTGAAGATCTAACAAAAGGGGCCCTTGAATCTCCTCTACTTTAGCAGCAATGGAAAGACAAGCAACAGCCACAAGCTGACTCATCCATGGCTTAACCTTCTGAAAACTGACTCCAGATATAAATCTATCAAAATAGTTCACAGCTAACACAACAATCAAAGCATTGAAACCATAGTGGTCAATCACAGTCAGCATCCATTCCAAGGACTTTTTTCTAACCCCCAACAAAACCCCATCTGAAACTAAAATAGTACAATAAAAAAGATTCACTTTTTCCTTTGATAACAGAGTTTCAACCTCACCATCTTCCCAAAACAAGTCACATTATATTAAAAGGTGAAATCTTTTTCACATTCTCGATGACCCCATTCTGATTTCTTTCATCTGAGTGGTACCCTCCTCCTAAATCTCCCTCATCTATTCGATCTTCCTCACATAGAAGGGAATCAAAATTCAAGATTGGATTTTGGGGCTCTATGTTTTGTTCTTGTAAATGTAAAACCATTTTTCCCAAACTCAAACTTGGACCCAATAACACATCCATTGCTACTGCCTGAAAATGGACAAAGAGATAAAATAGGGAGAGTAAATAGGAGAGATTTTAGTTTAGATTGCTTTCAAGATTGTCCCTTTTTTCTTCTTTTATCCAAAATTTATTGTTGGCGCATATATTTTCAAAGGCTTTTGCGATGTTTGGCACGCAGGGTAAGAGAAAGAACAACAGATTCTGCCAAAATTCAATTCATTCTTTGCATATATATATATAGCTGAGATTAGTCTTTGCATATACTGTTAGTTGAGACTTGAGATTAGTATGCTTTTATCCAATTACTCCTTTTGTTTGACATACAGCTAACAATTAATAACAGAAATAATAATATTATATTACCTTTTGAATCCATTAAATTTCATATTTTGGGAAATGTATTAGATACTAAATAGTACTCTCTTCGTTTAGACAAGAATGATAAAGTTTGACTTGATACGAAATTTAAGAAAATAAAGAAAAAATTTCAATTTTATGATAGTAAATTAAAGTTATGTCAAATACATCAAAATATCATTTAATATGTGGACTTAAATATGTTACGTGAAAACCTGAAATTAAAGTATTGCCAAAAAAAAGAAATGAGACATTTTTTTTTTAAACAGTCTAAAAAGGAAAGAAGGTCATTTTTTAAAACAGAGAAAATAGTAACTAATAACAAGAATAAAACGAACAGAAAAGATAAATAATTCATTGATTTTCTAAACTAGACATCTATTTTTAATATAGAAAATAAGTAAAAATAAATCAAAAGAGTAAAAAAATAAAAAAATAATAAAAGCACTAGTTGTTTGTTTTTCTTGTGTTTGTAACTTGAAGCTAGACCTCTGTTATGAATGGGCCTAGACCAGTATTGGCAAGGTGGCCCAACACCGAATTAAGTGGTTATGTGTGGATCCGGGTCGATAAATAAAGACTAGAGAGAGTAATATAGGTTTATGCAAATTATGATTATGCTTAGGCAAAGACTGTGCTTCTCATCCCCAATTCTCTCTTAGTTTCCTCATCCCTTCTTCTTTATAGTTACTGTTATTGTTCGAGTTCTTCATATTGTAATTGCTCGTTTTCGTATGAATCAAAGGTTGTTAGTTTGTTCTCTCTATTATTTTGTTGTTGAGTTGAGGAAATCACTACAACCATTTTAGTGTTTGTTACATTGGTGCTTTAATTGTTCTTACTCCAAATGGCAATGGCAGTATTGGATCGATTCAATGGTGGCAACGATCCAGAGGGTTGAATTCTTCGGGCCGAGCAGTATTTCACCTGCTTTGGCTTCTTCCAGAAGGACTGGCTACCTCTTCCTTATTTCTACCTTGATGGTGAAGCTCTTACTTGGTTTACGTGGTTGCATCGTAACAAGCAATTCTTCGATTGGAAGAATTTTAAGGAAAAATTGCTTATGCGATTTCCACAACACACAACTTCGGTGAGTATGGAAGATACTTTTTGAGCCTATATTAACTATATTTGATGTACTACATCTGTTCCTCCGACGAACTCTCCCTCTGCAGTTGTAGAATTAAGCCCTGTCACATACTCATCTGACTTGGAAGATGCCTTCACAAGTGGAAACACAGAAGCAGACCATTTCTCGAGAAATTGCCTGAGAAGTATACCAATGTGTATTCCTTGGCATTGCTTACAGGAAGTGATACTGAGATCACAACTCTTGAAGGCCTGGGAACTCCTCAAATTGGGAATGCAAAATTAGTATAATCAGATTTGGTACGGTAATCTTCTTCCATTACCGAAGGTCAGGTGTTCGATGAAAATTAGCATACAACTGTGAACTTAACTATGGATTCTGCAAAGATATTAGTATGCAAACCAAGTTCCCTACTTCGGTGTTAACTGATACGAAAGAATTGAATAGTGTGGAGGAGAAAAAATCACTAGATAATGCTGCTTTGTTTGACAAATCTCCTCAAAGGGATGCATCTGGTATTCTAGCTCCTTTTACTAAGCAAGCACCTGTGTTGTCGAATACGCATATTCGAATTACTGAAATAGTATATCCAATTACGACTTGGGTATCACTCTTAATTCCTCTTGTTGGTCGAGAAGATATGATGTTGAATGAACATCTCGAACAAGATATGGCAATGAGATATGTAGTTACTAACTCTCTTGGTAGTGGCCCTCCTAAATGGAAATTTGATTTAGGGACATTTACGGTGGGTATGGCAGATTTATTTCTTGATGAATATTATTTGGAGAACGTGAGTGCCATATCAACTAGTGTGTTGCATTTTGTTGGATTGTTTATTGCCGCTAAAAATGGAAAATCTATTAGGGGATTCAATGATCAGCATATTTTGAGTCAATTTCCATTTATTCCTTCTGCCAAATTCATTATGCTTATTGTAACCGTTCCCATAAGTGCAGTGGATCTTTGTGTATGGGATCCAGGAATAGATTTCGGATTTATGGCTCTAACCGATTATATAAAGAAAACGTGGAGGAACTACTATTGTTGGGATGTAATGACATGTTTTTCTTAATTGTGTATTCAAATTCTATGAGTAGAGTGTGGGATCCCGGACAACTAGGATGTGTAAAGTCCAACTGGTTCAAGGTGTTCTCTATTGTCAATAAATGCAATGCATTAACATGTCCTTTAATTGCATATTCACTGGTCTTCGCTGAATATTATGTGGTACAACATAACATTTTGGTCGCCAACTTCCAGCAAACATCAGTGTTGCATCTTTTCTGTATCACTGCTCTAGTTGGCATGGTACAGGTGTGGGAGGTAAAAGTGTCAAGGAGATTATACAAGGTGAAGGTTGTGTACTGTAACACCCCAGAAATTTTTGAGCTAAGACTCGAACCATCCTTTGTTGTGAGTAGGATTTTACCGAGGAATTAAAATTTCTTAAGTGTTAAGTTCACTAGATGTAGCACCTTGAGTTCCAAAAAGAATTAAATTGGAAATAGAAAAATTTGAAATTTTGCAAGTTAAGCTAAGTATGAGTGTTGGGTCAACTTCAAACGACCATAACTCATATCTCAGGATAAGTTATCTGTTCTACCATATACCATAGGAAAGAGCTTTGAATTATCTTTCCAATGCCACCTAGTTTGCTTAGTTTCGAGTTCGTATGAGGGACATATGTCGATTCGAAGTTGGGCTGTCTAGATAAGGAAAGGCAAAACCGGATTTTAAAGGGGTATTTTGGTCTTTTCCTTACCAAATAAGATTTAATTCGTTTTTAGTAATATTTTAGGGTCTAATATGATTAGTTTCAGTTTTATAATCCTAGTTTACGCCTAGGGTTTTAGTTGAGAGTTCAAGAAGAGAAAAGAGAAAGGATCAAGGCGTTCGTCGAAATTCTTGAGAGTTGTTGTGGGTTGTCACCATGGGTTTGATCCCTAAGAGGTATGTAAGCTTCCATAGTGTTGGGTTTGTTCACCCACACGCCAAACATGTTATTTTCAGCGCAAATTTCATTCTTGAAGTTGAAAGATTTGAGTTCTTGATATGTGTTCTTGAAGTTCATTCTAAATCTTGTTGTGTTGGGTTTTGATGATTTTCTTGAGATTAAAGTGAGTGTTTTTAGGGCTGTATTGAGTAGATTAGAGTGTACTTATGTTAAGCAATCGAATCCAAGTGATTGGGGAAGAAACCATTCGATTCTAGGCGAAATAGAGTGAGAAAACGAGCAAAGAATTCTGTTGAATTTTCTGGGTTGGGGCCTGGCGCGATGCGCCAGCTAGAGCGTCCCAAACCCTCCTCTGAAGGTTAGGGGCTGGCGCCCCGCGCCACCCATAGCACCAAGGTCACATGCCCCATCCACTTTGTCGTCGGTTGCCCCGTTTGAGTTCGTTTAAAGTGCATCTTCACTCCTTTTCGATTCTAACTACTCTAAACTACTTATAAACACCTAAAATCATTCCTAACATGATAATAACCTTGAATTCATAATTCAAATTCAAGGTAGAGTTGAGAGTTAAGTTTTGAGAATTCTTTCGAACATTCTAAGAAAGTCCCTTTGAGTCTTTTTGTCGAGTTTTCTACAACTTCTAGTAACTTGTTTCAAGACTCAAGTAAGTGAGCATGAGAGTGAGGATAATGTATAAATGAGTCTACTGTTTCATCATGAGATCTTTCATATCATGCACCATAACTCTTGAATTCATAATTCACATTCAAGAGAGAGTTAAGAGTAGAGTTCAAGGAAGCCTTTGAGTTCAATTGTGAATCCTTTGAGAACAACTATTGATTTGAACTAAGTTTTGAGGAAGTAAGTATGAGAATGAAAAGAGTTGTATCATGAGTTTCATAATTTTATGTAGACCTACGAGTCAAGTCGTTCATGCCATTAAATTCCGCATGAACTCCATAAGTTGAGTATCTATGAGAGGAGTAATATCTCTATGTCCTAAGTCTTAAGTATTGAGTTTCTTACCCCTTTGAGATTACATTCCTAATCATGGAACTATTACATGTTACCCATGAAGTCCTTGAGTTGGGTTATTCATGTCCATAATTCCGCAAGAATCCTATAAGTCGAGCATTCTTGAGACGAGAAATATCCTTGAGTCCTTGAGTTGAGTAGTTCATGCTCATAAATTCTGCATGAACCCTCATAGTTGAGCATTCTTGAAGTGAGTAGTATTATTGAAGTTTTTGAGTTCCAAGTATTGAGTTCTATCTACGGTTGTTGAAAACCTTGCATTGAGTCGTTCACGACCATAATTCGGCATGAACCACATTTTAAGAAGTCTTTTACAAACGTTTTAACTTTGTTTTAAGACTTAAGTTTTGAGTTCATTAAAGAGTATAGTTGAAGTTCTTTTCTTCAAAAGTATATGCGGACTAAGTATACCCAAAGAGATTCAAAATGTTTTCACATTTAAATAAGAAAGGAAACTGAGATTTCCAAAGAGCCTTCGGGCTAGTTTTCAGAAAAAGTAATCGCTTTCTAAATGAAGCAAGAGGGGAAACTTTGATTCAAGATAGCCTTTGAGCTAAGTTTTTGAGCATTAATCTCAAATCACAGAAGAAGTATGTTTTTTTAAAACATAAGAACTAGTATATTTTGGGAGTAGTATTGAGCACCAAATTGAGGGCGAGCATGAGTTCAGATAACTCACGTCTCCATAAAACCATGTAGCGACCATGGGTAGAAAAGGATCATACTTTTAGATGAACCTTTTTCACAATAGACTAGTGGATCCACTTAGTAGTTCAGGTCCTATACCTTTGGCCGGGTGTAGGCTGTGCTGGCAGCGTGAGGTAGATCGTTGTATCATCACTATAGCTCTTATGTGATGGTTGTCGGTTAGAGAAACTCCCACAGCAGTATTTTGTATTTTTACATACATTTCAGAGTTATGTTGTATTCTTGCATACACACAGAGTTGACAACATGTTTTTAAACAGTTTGTTTCTTTATATTGCACTTGCTTTAAATTGTTTTATATTGAAATGCGTTCAGTTATATTGAGTTGAGTATCCAGAGTTGAGTACCTAGAGTCGAATATCATATCTTTGAGTTGAGTATCTAATCTCTGAGTTAAGTATATTATCCTTGAATACTTCTGAGTTGAGTAGTTTTGAGTATCCTTAAGTATTCCTTGAGTTGAGTAAGTTCGAGAAGAGGTAAGTATGTTTCCCTTCTATCAAGTTTCAAGCTTATGTTTATGCTTTAGAATTCCTCTTACATGCTCGTACATTCCACGTACTGAGTCATTTGGCCTGCATCTTCTCATGATGCAGACACAGGTATTCAGGATCATCAACAGGAGCTTCATTGATACATCTGGAAGTTTGAGTTAGCTATGGTGAGCCTCCTTGTTTTCAGAGTATTTCATTTACTTTTCAGTTTAGTCAGGATGTTGTGGGTCTTGTCCCGACTTCCATCTTTATCAGTTAGAGGCTTCATAGATAGTCAGTATAGTTGAGAAGTCTGTATTATTTATTTATTTTATTAAATATTTCAAAGACTTAAGTTGCCAATTTTGGGGCAAGTTGAATATATTTTATTATTCAGAGTTTTCATTTGAGTTAAAAGTTTGAATTTAAGGTTTATGAACTTTTATTTCAGTTTTAAGCCTTTGCATGCTTAAGTTAGTCTTCCGCTTGTAGTCAGCCAGGATGAGGGTTTGCTTGGGGACCAACAATGGTTCTTAAGTGATGGCCACGTCCAGGGTGTAGACTCGGGTCGTGACATGTACTCTGCTTGTTACACACTTTATGGGGTCATAGAGATAGTAGAGTCGGCTACGCGTCATAAATTACATCATGGCTTAGGTAATGCATTAGTTTTTGTTATCCTTTTGAACAAATGTGTGGTTGCAAGGAAAGTTATAACTTACCTCAATTTGATAATGCGGAAGAGTTTTATAGTGAATCAGAAAGATCATGGTTGTAATTTGTTGTTGTATGCTCTAGTGGAGAGATTTGGCGGAAGGAGACTTTGACAACTATTGCTCAGTACTTCGAGGTGAACAATTGTAGCATTGACAAGAGCATGGTACGAAGTACTATTTTTATGATGTTTCAAGTGCTTTTGGATCTCTTTTTGATCCAATCAGAAGCCTTGGTGAAATTCTCAGCATCCCATTATCTGGCAGTACTACCTACATTTTGGTCAATCATGGAATTATTTCATTTGATAAAAAAAAGACTAA